GGTTAAAAGTTTTAGCAACCTTGCTAAACCTCTTGGAGATTTATCTCCTAGAGGAAAGAGCGTGTGTAGGGATTTATTCAGCTCTTACACTCAAACCTTCAAAAGTGAACACTTGTTTTCTATGTATATAATAGAAATAGAAATATGCAAGTACACACAGGAGCACAGACTGTGCACAAACATCATCACCTGCACATACAGGCCCCTAGACCACCTGGAAGAGCCCGAGTTTTCCACACACATTTTTCCTACAGAGCAAGGAAAATCCATGCAGTTTAGCAAAGCCAGACTCAGTCTGGGCTCTGCAGAGCCCTCCCTCTGGGGACCTCAGAGGCAGAATGTCTGCACAGTTTCAGGGGCTAATATGTCAAAGCTTTAAGTAGCCTGAAGAATTTAACGGGGATTTAGATGCCTGCAACTGAAATGTAGCATTTTTGACAACAGTTGACTGAGATGAATGGCATCTGCTCAGGAGTCATGAAACATCCTGCCAGTGTCACACCCTCCCAGCACACACAAATCGAGGTGCAATGCCTGCATCATTTTCTTCTCAGAAGAAGAAAGGCTGACAGTTGTCATTAGCTGAATCTGTTGCAAACCAAAATGAAACACTGCTCATAAACAGTAGCAGTGTTTCCATACAGAAACTAAACAAATTTGGGCAGAACAGGCTGAATGAATATGAACAAAGAAGGAACTCTTAAGGGATATCCCTCCCTTATTAATATCCTCCCCCTCCCTGGTACTACTCAGGGTTTTTGTTTGCATTTCCCACATCTCTTATCTGTGCTTTCAGACTCAGAAAGCCACACAGCATGCCGTAGCTTGAATGTTTGCATTCATCAAAGTGAAAATTCCTATTAATAAGAATTCAATTATTTGGAAAAAAGTTCCTGGAAGTACAGCACCACCTTTCTAAGTTCTTTTCCAATGAGCTGGACTGCAAAGAAATGAGCATGAAAAGCAGAACCTGTCACAAAAATCTGTGGAACAGCAGGAAGTTATGGCCAGCTTGTGACAGTAGCACCAAGACTCCACATGGGAATACTATTAAATTAACAGCACATTGAGATTAATTGCCTTTTTTTTTTTTCTGGGGATTTTAATTTATTTTTTTTTTCAGTTGCCCAACAGGTATCTTGTAATGCAGTGGGTTTGATTTGGTGGGGAGGTTTTCTGGTTTTGCTGCTCTTTATGAGCTGTGTTTTCAAGCCCTGTGTTATTAATTTATCACCCAGGAATAGAAAAGCAGCTCCAGTGCTCTGACCCAACCACACCCAAATCCTCAGGGAAGTCAGATGTCTCTTCAGAAGTCATGGACAGTGAGATAACAACATCACACATACACTTTGAATTTTAATTATCACTATTAAGGATTAGGAACAATCCCTGTGAGCAACCAATTTTGCTGGCATTACTAAGCCAGACCCAAGCCTGCTTTCAGTTAACTGCAATGCAGTATTCATGCCTCAAACCTGATTTTAGCGAGTTCCCTTCCCTTCTGGAGCAAGTACATCACTGGAGGCTCCAAGTCTCCTCTTTGGCATCCCCACCCTCACTTAATTCTTGACCACAGGGGAATTTTAACAGAGAATAAACTAATCTCTCTCTTGCTACTGCCAACATAAGACAGTACTGTTATTCCAGTTCAGAAGAGATCAGCTTTTCTCCTGTTAAGTTTTGCTTTCCTAAAAGAAAGCTGGAAATATGGGTAGATTGACTGCCCCTCCAAAGCTGCTTTAGTGTCTGAACAGGTCATTTACACAGAAAGAATTTTCTTTCAAATATCCTGGTGTCGATGATCGTGTTTTTCTGGTATCATCACTAATCCCCTCCATTCCATAACAAGGATTGTTTCTCCTGACATTATTTCTACAGATTCCATGCTGGGGCATGACTATAAAGGACAGGCTGCAAATCTGGCACTGAGGAGAGAGAAGGAAGAAGAACAAGAATTACAAAAAGACCAGTTCTAATTTTAACCTTCATAAAAGTGCAGGTTTTCCTAACTTTTAGCATAGGGAAATAATCTGGCTGGTGCTTTGTGCCTTACCTTAAGTGAGAGTTTTAAGTGATACTGCTATATTTAATCAAACATATTTAATACTGCTATATGTAATCAAACAGAGCTGGTTTGGTGAATAACTTGCAAAGAGTCTCTGCATGTGCCAGCCCTGCAGGGTAATGCCGTTGTCTTAAATGGATTAACGTGGGATTAACACGACCAACATCTGACACACAGGATGCCTGAACACAGGAAGGCACAACACGAAAACTTCCTCCAAGAAAATGAAAACATCTCCCTCTCTTCTCCCAGCTAAACCAAGCAACTAAATGAAAGGAACCACCCAGATGACAGAAAGGCCAACAAAGGAGCTTTACCATTCGCCAGAGCTGTCACTTCTCTGTCGATCAGGTCATGTGCTACAAACATGAGCAGCACACATGCTGCTCCACCAGACTTCCCTTCTCCAAATCCTTTCCCTTGGCCATGGGAAGCGCCTCAGACCCCTACCTTGGGCTGATATCTCCCATTAGACCAAAGCTGCAACCTACAGTCTCATTGTTGTGAGCTCTTAACTCCTGCACTGACCTACTATGAGGAACCCACCAGGTCCCCCTTCCCTGGCTGCCCCAGCCCTGCTCCCAGCACTGCCAGCCCATGGCCAGCCTGGGCCTTTGGCTCTCACAAAAACAACCCTTGGACAGGAAGCACCTGGGTGCTGCCCTTTTATAGGGCAGGTGGGGTGGAAGCAGGGCTGTTGCTGCTCTAAGTGAAAACACAGCGTTAACCAGCATCCTGGCTCCTGGGGGGAAAGTGTTTTATTAATCAGAAAAATGCTTTCCACCCTGTGGTGTCTTGCAGACCTTTAAACTTGCATCTGCACAAATCAGAGAAATTCTTCTGTCATTCTCACAATAGTTTAAAATACAGAAACCATTATTAGACTTCAGGATTACGGGTTTTTTAAATAAAAGGGGGAAATTTAACCTGATTAGAATTACCTTCTCAGGTCAGCACAGGGTGCTATGGGTGAGGTAGAATTTCCAGGGTATATTCCCTATCCATTAGAGTGGGAAGTTGAGATTGCTTGACCAAAAGGCATGGTCACACACTACCTGATTTTTCTCATTCTGTTCCAGATTGCTGAAAAAGAGAGAGAGAGAGAGAGAGGAATGAAGATCAGGAATGTTGGGCACCCCATAATCCTGATTACCCAGAAACTGCTGACTGGTGGGAGGCTGGGAGGATGATGTGAAGGTAATGAAGTGCAAGTCTTTGGGTGTGAGGACCCAGAGCCAAAGGGTACAGAGCATTATTTCACCCACAGCATTCACCATGCATTTCTAGATCTACTGTTTATACAATTAATTTCATCTGAGAACAAAATATTTTCATGGATGGTGTGTTCTTGCTATAATTCATGAGACTATGTATAAAAACAAAACATTTTTCTCCACAGGAAAAAAAAAAAAAATCCCCAAAGACCCCAAATTTTTTTAAGGAAGAACTGGGAGTGTTGATATCCAGTTTTGGCGCAGCTCAAGGAAGAAAAAAATCCCTGTTAAGAACACTATGGTTGATTTTAACTAAAATAACTTACCCCCTCAGAGTTGCCTGGGTCACTGCAGAAAGCGTTTCCTTTGGGGGTGTTTGAGCCTGACAATGCTAATTCAGACAGATGACAGCACCTGCACTGGGGGAAAATACATCATTCCGAGAAAATCAAGCGGAAAAGCAACTTCCAGGCATTTTATGTGCGTTTTAAAAGATACAAACTCTCCATCACACAACACCAGGAATTTTGGCGTGATTAAGATTCGTTCGAGCCAAAGTTGACAGTCTTGTGCCCAAAGCCCGACAAACATTAAAAGCCTGTGACTACAAAGATAGCCCTGCAAACACCATTTTCTCCCTGTGAATAGCTCGCGTTCAATCGTCCTTTTGGGCCGGCTAACGCTGTCAGATAATGAGTAAAGCACCACGAACGGCCGGAGCAAAACCTTGGAGGATGCTCGGGGGAAACAGCGGCAGTGAATGGAGCGGGGTGGCTGCCCCCACACCGAGCACACAGAGCGCGTCTGTTCGGGGGACTCCCGGCGGCTTTGAGCGCGGGGTGCTCTGCCCGCAGCGCTGGTCACCTGCTGGGAGCTGCCATTGAATGAGGTTACATTCTAATTGGATTTTCCGAAGGCAGCGCATTAGCATTTTCCATGATCTCACCCTTATTAGCCAAGTCGCTAATCAGGAGGAGCGCGGTTATATTGTGCGCTGGGTACATTATCTGCTGCCGCAGCGTCTGCAAGCCAGCTCCAAATTCAGGCGGAGATAAAAACTCCTCTCTCTCTCTAGCAGAGGCTCGGGAGTCTATTATGGAGCTAAGGTTGCAGTCAAATTCTAATTTTCAATAGTTCACCAGAAAAACAACAACTCTCCAGAGGCTGACTCGCTCAGCGCTTCGCTCCTGCTCTTCCTGAGCCCGCAGTGTAAGTCAGGAATGTCAGTGCTTTCATCCCTGTTGGCAGAAGCAGCATCGCTCCACCATGTAAAAGCAGAAGAATCCTTTCCCATGGACTGCTTCCCATTGAGTCCAGAATCAAATGCTGGACATGTTTAATCCCCTGAGGTTATTATTTCTATGCACAGGCCTTTGTATATTGAAAAGAATGGAAATACCTGTTCTGAAGCAGAAATGACACATGCAGGCAATCCTGTAGCCCATGACTCTGCCTTTGCACAGCTCAAAAAACTGTTTGTGTCAGAACTTAAATACTCCTGAGGTACCCAGGAAAGCAGGCAGGACGTCTCACGTCCTGCAAAAATCTGTTTCTTCTTTTGCGGGGGGTGGTCCCAGCAGGGTTGGATACCTATTTCTCACAACAGCAGCCTCCTTAAAAGCCTGAAGGGAAGAGACAATCTTGCACACAGATTATCAAGTAATGCTTGCTGGACACTCATCCACCAAAATTTTGCAAAAAAATTAATTGTCTAAATACAATTTCACTTAAAAAGCCAGGTTTTATTCTTGGTTAGAGGTTACATGACGATGTTCAGATTCATTACAAGAATAATTTGGAAATATAAAGCTATATTCACTGAGAAGTTAAGCCCATTCAATATTTCTACTAAAATTCTTGCAGTACAAGTAAGGACACACAGAAAAACGCCCCTGTGATTATGTTTTACATGTAATTCTAGAGCCAAAACAAAAGAAGATCTGACCTGGACTCAAAAAGGGGAAGTGGGCACCTTCTCCCTGGCCTGGCATCGGTGGTACCCTGATTACAATTACACAGAGGGGTTTAAACAGTGAAGCAGATTTCCCTTTTACCAGCCAAGAAGGACAGGACAGAATTCAAGGTGCTCTATCAACCAATCATTCCCTGGAATCAAATAAAAACCCTCATAATTCCCAAACAACAACAACAACAATCACACCACTATTGGGCTTGTAAGCTCTTGAATTCAAACCAGATGTGACAGTCTGAATCCCCAGCAAGAACTGCATCTCTTCTCATCAGGCTTTTAAAGAGATTCTCACAAGGCAGCACAAACAGCATCTTCAGAACAAAGGGCAGTAACGCTTCCCAGCAGAGTTTAACTGGATCCTGAGGATCACCAGCCTGTATGAGCTGCTTTTCTATTGTCCTCACAGGGATTTTACCAGCCATAAATCACATGCACTGAAGAGATAAGGAGCTAGGGGCGAAATAAAACCCAGAAGAAAACAGAATAATGAAGCTGCAAGAGTCCCTCGCAGCCTTTGGTTCACAATTCTCCAGAAGCCAGAGGCTGTCAGCGATGGGATCTCTTCTCCAGGGAGGAATCTGCAAAAGCAAAACCAATGGGAATTATTGTGACATTGAGAAATACAACTCACTTAGGAGTCATTTTCCTCTATTTTGTAACACTTTCACACCCACACCCCCCTCAAAGCCAACCCTGTACTTCATTACAAGACTGTAATCAAACCAACGCAAGTGGCAGCAGGAGTGAAGAAGCAAAAGAGAGTGGGGATATCACAGAGTGCTCCAGGAGTCTCTGTCTCAGCTTTCCTCTCATCCTGATGGTTGATAGACAGCAAACAGTAGGGTCTAATAGATTAAAGTCCCTCTGTAAAATCTTTCCAGACTTCTAAAAAGACCAGCTGGCATTCAGCAGTGCTCAGAGTTGTACATTGGCATTAGGTGCACCCAAGAGAGGAGCTAAATCTGGCAGAGGGATAATTAGGTGGTAGGACCCATGGCAAAGCAGGTGTCTGTGGTCCAAAAATGTGTTTGATAGCAAGTCACTCTAGCCAGGAAAATAAAACAAAATTGAAAAAAGGTTTTGGAAATGCTCTAAACACATCTATAGTATCACAAGCACAAGTGCACTTAGTATTTCACTTGAAGAGAAAGGCTAGGAATGATGAATCCTGATCTGTTGGCTCACAGAAATAAAATGATCAAATCCTGCAGCTGTTTAAATCACATATCCTGTTCCTCTTCCCATGAGGCTTTTCTGCCTGGTACTCTGAAGATCACTGTCCTGTGATCTTCAGCTCAAGCTGACTTTTAAAAACACTTTAACTTCACGTGTTCTGGAGTTAGGAATCAGAAGTGTGCTAATGGCCTTTCTGTGGTAGCAGAAATCAAGTCGTATCAATAAAAAATGCTGGAAATAATCACATTTTCATTCCCAATGGGGATGGCAAGCTGCTAATTAAATCTGTCTTGACTACTTGGAAGCACTGATAATTTCTCATGTAATGTATGCACTGAGGACAGGCTAATACCAAAAATGTTAAGGGTCTGGGATTTTTTCCAGGAAAATTAAGATGTCAATTAATTGACTTTTTTCTTTCCCCTCCCCCGTCTGGTTTTTATTGAAGACCTCCACAAATCTATTTTTTTCAGGTTTTCATATTTTCCCCTCTCTCCCTACAGATGTCATTATTTTCAGTGGCAAACCCCACACTTCTCCCTCCTCTTCTTCCAATTAGCTGTAATTATAACAACATTAGCAGCAAATTAGGTGCCTCGAGGGCAAAAATCTGGGAAGCAGCAGAGTGTGGAAAGGAAGAGGAGATGAGATTATAATGGAAGTAAGCAGGCACATCCATGTGCTCATCTGGGCACCCTCAGGGCTTTGCAGGTTGAGCTCTGCTTTCCCTGAGCATGCCAAGATCAGGAAGTGACCAGCTGCTCCCACAAGCCTCCAGAGCTACTCCTGGAGAGGGAAGCAAAAGACTCCATTTGGGCTTCTCCCTGTGCCTGGCATCTCTGGGTCCAACATGAAAACATCCAGCTCAGGCTGGAGAAACCCACTGGTTGAATCTGATGTTCTGAATGGGTAATTGGGGTCCTTAAATGCATCTGCTGGGAATCTTTCTGCCAAGGAAAGAAAGGCAGTAGGATTAATTGTGGAAGTGAAAAAGGCAAGACATGCCAGCAGTTGCAGCATGCAAAAGGGTTCTTGCTCCGAGTAGGATTTTGAGCAATAAACCTTTTTTCCAGAGAATTTTGCATGAAAAATTTGGGTCCAGGGAAAATCTCCAAGATCAAGCTCTTTTTTACAACTGTCTTTTCAATTTTGCACAGCGGGATAAGGAAGGAAGTCAACACTGCTTGCCAAATAAAGTGACATTAAGTACATTTGCTGGAAATCTTTTTTGCCTTGCTCCTCAAAAATTAAAAAAAACAACAAAAAAACCAAATCAACCACAACAAACAAAAAGGTCAGACATACAAAAAGGTCAGACACCAGGAGTGTGGAAGAGCACAGACATAGGAGCTGAAGTTCCTCCTAAGGCAGCACTGCTGGTCCAACAAGGCATGGCTGGGAGAATTTAAGCACAATTTAGGACTAAGATTTCCTGCACAGCAAGGTACCTGGGGAGGGACCAGTCCAGTGGTGGGAAAGAAGAGTTATTCTCTTGGAAATCTACTGGCAGTGCAGTAAGGAAATATCATCTTCCTTAATCTCTGTCTTGTATCACATTTCCACTTTGCTTCTCCTTCCTTATTGGGACCTTAAAGGAAACATCTTTGTTTTTTTGGAAGACAAGCTAAACTCTGCTATGAGTTATCTGAGGTTCTAAGCAGTTTTTTGAGGGTTGGGGTTTTTATTTCCTCTCATTTTGCCTACCCTATTCCCCCCATCCTTTCCCATCTTCTAACTAATTTATTCCCAGTTTATTAGAAAGGGCTCAAATCCAAAAGTGCCAGATCCAAACCATCACACAGCTACCAGAGCTCAGTGCTGGACACAACATTCCTTAAGTGACTCTCTTCCAGCTACCACAACACATCTCTGGGGAAAATAACAGTCTGGAGAGCAAACTTTAGAAAATGGCACCTAATCATGTTCATCAAATGTCTGTAGCAAAGGATTGGGCTTTTTCTTTAATTTAAAAAATTCTTCAGAGATAATCCTATATTTAGAGATGCCAGAAAAAAATGTTTCTTAAACTAAATAGAAGGAGAAACTGGCCTTAACAAAGGCAGCAGTCCTTTGAGACAGCCTCCTCTTACCATGGGAGCAGCTGAGGAAAGCAGTGCCAGTTAAAAGAAAAGTACAGATATGGTTACAGGAGAAGCAGAAAACATGAGATTACAGCTGGTTACAGAAGGACCTACAGAATCCAAGTCAAGTTCCAGAGTATCTGGGTCCAAACACCTTCCTCCCTCATAAGAGGGGAAGGAAAACACAATGAAGGTGCATCTATTCAAAACTACAGCAAAAATTAGTAGTTACTGCTTAGTGACCTTTGAAGTCCCAATCACATTATGAGACTCACACAGATTTCAGATATCTCTAAACCAGGCATTTTAATGGAATATTGCCCAAAATATCCATTTTCCCAATTAATTTCACTTGTGTTTCATAATTACTACTTAAGAAAAAATGCCCAGTGTCAAAGGAAAATTTGTTAAGGGAAATTTCAAGGTTTTCTCCAGAAACATCAATCTACTGAAATGACATTCCTAAAGGAAACAGTTTCATGCCTAAAAGTTGCTGCACTTCTGATTTGTTTCCTATAATGAAGACCTAGCTCAGCAGAGAGAAGATTTATTGGTCCATTCATAATCTACTCAGAAAATGAAGGATGAGGACTGAGAATCAGGAATGCTGCTGCACATGCCGGCTCATTTAGACCCACTAGTGCAATTAGCACTTGGACAAAATGGAGCAAAGAAATGGGAACATCAAGAACTCTTGCTCATCACATATTCTTGGAGCTTCTATCTTGGAAAACCTTCTCAAAATACTTACAGGCAGATTTAATATAGACAACTATATATAATACATAAAGCCAGGCTAGTGACTCAATATTTTGACCTCTGTGTGATCAATGGATGAATTATAAAAATCATCTGTTTTAGCCACCAGGATAAGAAGAATAAGAGCCCAGAGAAGATGTTAAAGCAGGCCTCCTACACAGCACCATGATGGGACTATTAAGAAATCCTCTTTAAAGGGACTGGAGCAAAAAGGGAAGGGAAAAGTCTCCAAATATGCTAATCCCTGTCCAGTTGAGAAGGAGATGTTTGAATATTCTGGGCAAGGAACAGCAGTAGAAAAAGCCCAGATTTTGAAGAAGTGTTTTTTCAGGGAGTGAGAAGTCAAGTCACATAGTCAAGCAGGGTAGAAGAAGAATTTTCTTTCTTCAGATCTCCAAGTGCACTGCCCTGGACCACAGCTGCAGTTGGTGGCTGGACTGGTTTGATTCCCTGTCATAAACATCCTCCCTCTATCTTCTGGTGCAGTAAATCACTTGGAGTTTGAGTGGGAGGGATGGCAAAACTAATCTCTTGTTCTGTTGTGCAGGCACAGCACTACTTTCCCTGCAACCACATCAGAACCCTCCAAAGAGCTGCCATGTAATTATGGGATGCCCATCAGCCATTTTGGGGAGCTACATTCCCACCCTCCCCTCTCTTCTGAGCAAACGTGAACGACAGCAAATAATGGAACAGTTCCTCTGTAGCCATCTTCTTCTTCTTCTTCCAGATGTAACAAAACAGCTCCTGGACTCAGCAGTCCCTGCCACCCCACTGGCACCAAGGGATGGCAGATTCCTGCCAGGAAGAGATTCCTTGTGGTGTGCATTTTTTGAGTGGTCTGAAAGAAGTACTTCAAAACACGCAGGAATGATTTCAAGTACAGATAAAAATGTTAATTACTCCTCCCCGTTTCCAAGAAATAGTTTGTACTGACCCTTTGGCAGGTATTTAACTCTGTTCCCTTGCATGGCTCTATTTTCAGACCTGGCACCCTGAACTACCAGAACAGATCAAGAACAGCAATGGGCATTTTGCTTTTAAGGTGAAACAACATCCTAAAGCCTGCACTTTGTTAGCAAGGACACCTAAACCTGTCCCATGCTGGCCCCCAGTTTTGGCACATCATTAAATTCAGCCTTTGCTGGAGCAACAGAAGCTCTAAGGAGAATTCTGAGGGTATATTTTCTTTAGGACTATTACTAGGTGTTTAATGAGGCAAATGTGTGATCCCATAATGTGTAATAGAGACATTTTATGAATTGCAACAAAGCTGTAACATAGATGGTGTTACATCAGAAACCTCACCTGTGCTGCACACGCACCAACCTTGACTCTCCAAGGCAAAGCTGTCACATAAGCACTCAACAGATAGACAGGAAAGTTTACTCTACATCCCTCAAAGGCCTCCATTTGAAAAAAAAGTACATTTAATACATACTCTGTACAGCTGTTGTCTTACCATTTGCCTTGTGCTGCACATCTGGCGGAAGCTGGTCAGGAACATACCACTGATAGTCTGGCTGCACAGAACAATAAAACATTATTGCAGCAATATGGACTTCACAGGCACTTCAAACAAAAGCACAGTGACATGATAAAAACATAATTGTGTTGTGAGGCTTCTCATTAACCATACAAAAGCTATTTTTTACTAAAAAAAATCTTATATTTAGGTTTGTTTCCACCAATCCCAGTCTTCCAGCTTGCTTCCTCTCCTGCGGCATTAGAAAAATTGGTGTAAACCTTCCTAGATCCCACAAATCACAACGAAACCTTGGGAGAACCAAAGCAGATTGTGAAAGGGCTAAGGAATAAAGTGCAGCAGAAGATACCAGCAGGCTTCTCCCTCTACCAAAGAACCCCAGAGAAACCTGGCCCACCTGACAGGTGAAGCTGCTCCAGTTTGAATGCATCTGTAACAGCTGTAAAATTCTCCAGTGTGACAGGAATTAACCATGGAATCAAGTTCTTTCCCCTCCTCCCTTTCCTCACAGGTTAGCACTGCTGTTACTAGAACATTAGCTGTTATCAAATAACTTCCTGAAAACACCGTGGGATAGGGAAAATTCCCATCTTTCTCGTAAGAGGAAGTACTGGGAAGGTTACGTCCATGCAGACATAGTTTTGTCCAGGGAAATCTCGGAAGAAATACTGCATCATCGTTTATACCACCCACTGTGGCAAATGAGCAGCAAATTACCACTACAGAAAACAACTCTGGGACCAGCCATTTCAGCTGAAGCCCTGTTAGACTGTCTGTCTGGAATAAGTAGTCCATGCAAGCTTGTCAAATTCTAGGTAACTGCTGCTTCAAATTAGTTGCACTGGAAAAATGATTCTTGTTTTGCACAAATTACTCTGACAAAATCATTGAGTAGTCCCAAAGGGAATCTTGCAGATTTCAATTTGCAGGGAACAAATTTCAAAGACTCCTACAGAAGTTTTGCCTGAACTAAGATGGCAGGATGAAGCTGTAGACAGAGAAAACAGATTTAACTTTTATGTTTTGCTGTCATTCATGCTTGTACAGCAGTAATCACTCTCATACACTGTCAGGAAAAAAAGGAGCTATTTGTATTTTAACTTACATTGTACCAGTCACAGGAATTATTAACTAACTCTGTGCATGTGGGCAAACAAAGTAGACTTTGATACGAAGCTTTAAGCACAGGTAGTTTTTCACCAATGGCTCAAATGACACTCATTTGCATTGCTTTCTTGAGTTTCTGGCAAAATTTATCTTCTCTGATCAATTCTTCTCTTTTCATGTACCTACACCCTCCAAATTTGAATGAATTTCAGGACCAAGATGTGTATTTAATATCAGACTGACCAAATTTTTTCTACTAGAGCGTAAAAGGGAAAGAAAAAGCGCAAGAACTGAAAATGAACAAAAAAGCAAAAGCACAGCCTCAACATGCAGGATTACGTATCAGGACACCCATTAAATTCTAACACCTTTCTTCATTGCTAACAAATTGCTCAGGGAGGTACCCAAAGCTCAGAGCAGCAACTCACACAGGCAAAGAATTGGAAAAAAAAGGGCCAGAAAGAAACTGGGAGTTACAAAGCAACCAGTCAGACTGACACCGGCGCTCCGGCAGGAATGACAAAGTTGTAAACCCAGTGATCCCTCACAGAATTAGAAACCCAGATGATGAAAGTTCAGGGAAAAGAGCCAAAATAATCTGGGCTAGTTTCCAAATTGCAGGGAGAAACATTCTGCAATACTTCCAACTTTGATAAATAGGCAGATAAGCACACTCCTGAAGCACAGAAATTACTTGTCTGACCACAGCTTTTCCATTGGCTTTCTACAGCCTGAAAGCCTTACATGCATTTTGCAACAATTCAGCTATAATTTCTCAAATAATGAGCATCTTTCCATATGTGACAGCTTTATAGCCAGAAACAGATATTGTATATTTAAAATGACATTCACCATGTTTAAATGCATTCTCACTAGATTGGAACAAGCCAGCCCACTTAGATAATCAAAAGCACTTCAAAAATGTTCTTTGAAGCAGTATTTTCCTTGGAATAAATAACTCCCACTCATAGAACCTGTTCCAGTGCAAAACTATTCTTCTTCATGCTGAGGAAGACAGGACCCTGTTGTGTCCCAGGAAAAAAGGCACATTTCCCATTGTGTTAGCCCCACTCAGATAGAACTTCCACTTCTGCTGATTTGGTTTTTATCTTATGTTGAAGGTTCAGAGCAGATCCCTACTTCTGAAGTGGGGTAATTATACAGCTAGAAAGGGCTCTGAATGTGTGTCATGGAAATAAATTAACCTAAGAAATCAGCAAGACTTCAATCAAACAACCTTATTTTTTTAATTAACAAACAAATGCAAAAGAATCCTGTTTTTCTTCTTAGTGCTGTTACAGATAAAGAGTATTTGCCAAAGTAAATTTGATCTTGGTCTGGACTAAACAACATGCTAGGAAAGCACAGATTCAGTTGCTGCTGAGGATGGCAGGGTGATGGCATCTGTGGTCACCATGCTGTGAGAAAATCAGTGTCCTTGTCACACAGCTGATGTGACAAGCGCTTACCGAGCGCTGCTGCTGCTGCTTCTGTGCCCTGCGAGGCACTGGATGCACCCGAGGATCTGGGTAGTGAAGAACCATCCCACAACCCCCATTATGGACACATGGAGAAAGGAAGAGTGGAGCTGGATAACTGGGCCTCTCAGGCTGTACTGGGAGGTCTTTTGTCTGTCAAGAAAACAAGGGCAAGAAGAAATGCATTAGCAGTGGAATACAACCAACAGAACATTCGGGTACAAGTGGGCTGCAATGCTTTTTGTTCAGATCCTTCAGACTATTTAACACTAAAAAAAATTATTAAAGACAGCTGACTTGTGCCACACCAGAGTCTTGATGCCTTTTATGTGAGGAAAATATTGGTTTCAAGATATGACAAGCACATTTCTGTGTGTCTGTTATATTCCAAAACAATTCTGTATTTTCATTACACACAGTAGCTCTCAATAGATTGAAGCAGAACTACACGGACAGTTGCTTGCATGACAAGATAAGTAAATAATTTTGGTACAGGAGCAAAGCTGTTGGCCTCAGATTTGGGTCTGCCTTTCCTTAGGCCCTCTGCATTCCAGTAGAGTCAACAGGAATTTGCCTAAGGACAGAGCAAGGAGGGGCAAAAGATGATTAATATTCTGTGACTTTGTGAGTCACAACTAAATAATTTGACTTCAGAAAACAAACCAATAAATATTTTATATGCTTGCTCTCATCTTTAAAATCCTCCACAAGCTCTGTTTAATCAAATCCTGAGGCAGGAAGAGACAAACAGGAAGATCTCCAGTGTGAACTCTTGGTGCACTGCAGGGACAGTCAAGCACAACGTTGCTGAAACCGGCCAGAGCGAGGGGCACTGAGCAGCACCCAGCCTCTGACACTTCAGCAAGACCCCACCAGCACTCATGCATGGCTTGGTTGAGAAGAAGACAATCCTGAAGCTTCTGTGTCACAACAATGCTGGGGAGGACAATAAATCACCACAGAGCATTTTGGCAATCAGCCGTTCTTTTAAAGCATTGCACAATTTTGTCAAGACAGGAAACCTCGGAATTTCGTCATTCTTAAATGGGGATTGAGAAAGCTCAGAGTTTTGCATGCCATGATTTTACTATGGCATCCTACTGACACTACTTTGAAGAGATAAAAAGGATGTTGCAAGAAAAAATTATTGCAGAGGCTGCTCAGCTAATTTGTATGGAGACCATTTTTTCCTCAGTGATATTAACATCACTCTGTAATTCAATTGCAGAGGTCAGGATTAACTACAGAAGCTTGCTATTTCAAAAGTTGGTTTGATCTTACAACTCTTATATCAAGTGCCAGTGAAACAATCAAAGTCCTCTGGATTTGTTTTTGGTTCTGTCCACCCTCCCCCTCCTCCATTTTCAGATATGTCTGAAAAGTTTTTGCAATAAATACTCCCTTCATCTACTTATTTTGTAAGTCTTCTCTAATCGTTTCTCATCTTCTTACTGCATTACTTCAGAATGATTTCATCCCAGGTGGTGACCTCATATAAAATCCAATGTCAATTAATGGAAGCCAGAAAGCCTTGAGTTGTGTGGAAAGTGAGAAAAAAAAAATAAAATAAAATACACATGTGCTGGCAATGGGAGCTTTCTTTTGACTCATACCTGAGAGCTGAGTTTACTCAGTTGAGATTGTAATCTCTCATTAATTTTCTGCAGTGCTTCTTTCTCCTCATTAAGCCTCTCTCGGTCAGATCTCTCCTTTTTGAAGTCTTCCTCGTATATTTGGACCTGCAATAGTCATGAATGGTGTGTGAACTTCAGCAGAGCCACTTTTGTGCTTTGGTTGCTTTCTAAACACTGCTCAAGCAGAAGGGTGAATTCCAAGGGGACCCCTGCTCCGTACAGTCCTCCAAACAAAAGTTTCCCTGGACTTTTTTTGTGACCAATACAAAGTGACAAGCAATGGCCATTGTCCAGTGGCACACATCAATTGAAACAGTTCCCAGTGCCAGTTTTTGTACAACCTTGCAATTCAAAAAGCTGACTGGCAAATATCAGTTTCAAATATTATAAACAAGATAGCGAATACTAGTATTGATCTTTTTAAGGGATTAGCAGTAGCAGGACAAACATTTTACCAGTTTTCTCTTTTGTTATGGGCACTTTAACTCCCTCCTGTATCTCAGGTGCAAGGAGTTAGAGAAGAACCTCCCCACCCCAGTGTAGAGGCAGAGGGGAGTATAATGTACACAATTCCAAATGGAACGGAATGTACACAATTCCCAGTGGAAATGCAGATGTTTGACCCTGTTCCTAGAAAATAAGCTGCCTTGCAAATGCTGAAGGATGCAGTTGCTTGTTCCTTTTTTATGTGGTCAGGAACAACAGAGCTTCATCCCATTAAAAAATATCTGACCACCCCAGGCATAGGCAGCGAGCGCGCAGATTCGGAAACAAAACACAAATCCAGAAATTATTTGGTGTTACGGTGACTGCCTTAATGTTTCAGCTAATGGGCAGGCATCCACCTGGTGAGAAGCTGGAGGCTGGTGGCACTTCTGCTGACAAATAACAGCAAAGGCATGTTTGGGTGGGAACTGCCACCAGAACTTTCAGAAGCTCTTTCATGTCCTCTTGGTTGCTCACTAAAGCCTGCTGACAGTCTCTTCCCAAAAAACTTGCTTGCTGTGGCTCATGCCCATTGGATAGATCCAGTTTTCTTTTTGCTGGAAGCAGTGCTATGACTTCACAGAATGCTAGAAAAACGTTAATATCTCAGGGGAAGAAAAAGGTTAACACAGGGCTCTATAAATTCTTTTCCTGACCCTCTGAAGCAGAGACAAAGCTGTCACTTGCAGAAATCCCTGCATTCCTTGTCCATCCACACACTTGTCCTCACTATATCCTCATTTTTTCTCTCCCAATTCCATTTTTCCAATTCCCACTCCCCAGCTGTACAATCTGATGGAGCTGCAAGGGAACATCTTTGGCAGAGTTTTGCCATTTATTCTGTTGCCCTGAGAAAGAGAGGACACCTCCCAAGGAATGAATGCCTTCATCTCCGCTGCTGTGGCCAGGGATGGGCTGATGAGAGCCAAGCTCCCATGGGACTCTGCCAGTTCACTCTTTGTCCCAAGAGTCCCTCTGCTCCATCCAGTTAGAGCCTTCTGCTCCATTTCATGTAGAAGGAAGTCTGGACTCACTGTACAGATTTATACAACTAGAAAAACACATTCATAAAATGGATACCCCATGAGAATTTTGGAAAAAAATCGGTTTACTCTATTTTATTGTGTAGAATGAAATAACTCATTACTGTACAATCAAGTGCAGGATTTTGTTCTCCAGCATGTGGCAAGCATTACATTAGAGAGCAAAATCTGGCTCTGCTGTCAAACGTGACAGAAACAAGTATTTTATTCCCATTGAATAAAATTCCCATTCTGATCACATCCATTTGTGTGTCAATAACGTTAACCCTGACACTATCCAGGACAACAGACCTGAAGTGTTAAAATTATCTGAAAACTATATTGTTTTTAAACAGATTCTTTCTTATGGAAAGAAATACAGTGCATAAAACACTTGAGTTGCCCAGAACAAAGATGAAAAAATAAATAAATACAAGTCTATAGTCCTTGGGATGCAGGTTATGGATGCAAATGGTTTGCCTCACACTCAGAAAAACTGCAGTGCCAATGCTCTAGTTTTCCAAGGCTAGGATCTTTGGATAATTCTCTACACTGGCAACTTCTAAGATAAAAGGAGCAGAAAACACAACCAGTAATTAATGAAATTTAGCATTCCCTCTGGATGACATTCAGCCCCTAACAGAGAGCTGGCAGAACACCTCCAGGAGTCAGGAGAGCCATTCTGCTGCTTTGAGTCCTCCACAAGTCTTTGGTTTAGTCCTTTGCCAGGACTCAGTTTCACTTTGTGGACACGGCTGTGATGACAGCATCTGAGGAAACATCATTCCAAAGGGCTGTGGCTAAACTGGCTCTTCCTTTCAAAAGCTCTACACAGCAAATCTACCAAGCACAATCCCTGGGAGAGAAGGCAAAAAATGGCTGTGTGAAATCCATCCAGGCTCACTTGAGCTGTTCTTACCTGCTGTTTAAGAACTTCAAGTTGGGTTCTCATCTCCTCAATGCTGTTCCTGTCACCCTTCCCTGGAGGAGTCCCAACAGCAGGCGGGTGCTGCTTTTTCAACACCTCCAGAAGAGCCTGCAACATCAAACAGCAAAATTACTAAATTCACTACATGAACAAGAAAAAAGATTCTTTAAAATTATTAGAAAGAGGTTTCCCCTTCACTTGTGCTTGCCTCAATTACTCACATTGGCTAACAAACCCACTTTATTACAGCAAAGCCTGACTGAAGTATTTTTTTGCACTAAAAGTAAAGATTTGTTCACGTGGAACAAAGTAAACCCTCCTGAGAGGAAGTTGTGTAGTCTCAATAGCTTGTCACTAGAGGGAGTTACGAATACACACAACACTGGTACCACTCTTAACCCTGCTTTACACTGAAATTCTGCCACAGTTCTTTGCTGACTTTGTTTACTTGTAACAGCTCTCCCTTGGACTGGAATAAAAATCACTCCTACATCTCTCTGTCTATAACCACACATTATAATTATCTCTTATTCTCTTTACTCAAGCACAAATACCATTCAGTATTTTTCAAATTCTCTCACATAAGATATGAATCCCTAACTTCAGCTCTTTTTGAAGTTGAATTCACAGTGGTGATCTTCAGCTCTCCCTTGCTGCCCACACTCCAAGTGGGAAGGATGGAAGGTATTTGGAGGAGGAAGAGGCAAAGGGGGAAGAAGTGGCCAAGCAGCAGAACCAGTATCCAAAGTAATCCAAGGATTTGGATTAATTATCCAAGGCCCAGTGAAAACCAAGCACTTTCCATGGAAGGCACAGAAAAGGAAAGCTTTTTATCTGATGAGGGAAAGATTTTTATCTGTCCCTAAGAAGTGTGCAGAAGTGAGACTGGTGTAAGAGTGGCAAAGCTTGTGTTCCATACCTGTACATAAAGAAGGTTGAACTTAAACTGGGAGGGTGAAAATACAGTTACCCTGATTACTGATTAACACTTTTCCTGCCCCTTTGAACCCTTTAATATCTTTTTGAGGAGGTTCTACAACTCAGAATTATGAAGGGGAAAAAAGAAAAAAAAAGAAAAATCCAGAAAATTCAATCTTCAAAAGGTTAATGATAAGGTGAAGATTATTTTTAAACTGCATGTGGAAACAATACTGTGAGACCCTGCTTTATCAGTTCACATAAAATGAAGAAAAAGGTTTTTTTATTTCAGAGAATTTGTCATAACTTGGAGTGGCTGAACCTGAAATAGCAGGGGACTAAAGTTAAAAAGGCACAGAGGGTCCCTTCCTGTCTCATGTGTATTTATGACATAAGACCTGAAGGATGTAAATACACAGAAAAATCAGTAAATTACTGTTGGGAAAGTGTATATGAAATTGATGCTTCATTTAAAAGAATGGTCTGTACACCCATCTGTCTTATTATAGCCACATCATAAGCCAGTAAAATAAAACATTGAAATAAGTTGTTTTTGTTTAACAAACAAGGCCTTGAATTAAAGTTAGACAGGACCTTTGAGCAAGTCTTGTCAATGCATTTCAAAAAGAGCTATAGGCCATGAGTTCTGACAGATTTTTTCTTATGGAAACATTATTATTATTTCTTGGCTTGACTTCTGCACATCATGGCTCTTCAGCTTATTAAAGCATTTATTAAAGTTACACAGCAATGGTTATTGCAGTGCATTTCCTCAGGAAGTGTTTGTGGTTCACCATGAAATACAAAATTGTTAGAGAACTCCCACTGCTTTATGTGATCTTTTGATTAAACAAAATTACATTTATTACTTTCCCCCAGTTAAAAAAAAATCCCATTTAGCTATTTAATGACAATTTCCTTGGTGAGACATACATACATATAATATTATAGGTATAAGTGTGTGTGTGTGTGTATGGATATAAACAGTAAGGCAGGACCATGTCTTGTGAAGAGAAGCCATCACTCTCAAACACAGAATACATGCACAACAGTTTTTAAACTGTGTGACCTTGATTTTCAACCAGTCTTTAACTAGGTGCATACAGAAGCATCTTTGTGCTGTTTCCCTTCTGCTCTGAGGAGGGAAGATGGAGAAAGGGCTTAGACATGATTTGTAGGAAGGTTTTACAGGAGAAGCCTAATACTCTCTGAATTTTAATCCTTGCAGTGCAACCCTACTACCTGCCAAGAGCAGCATGCACAGGTCTGAGCTGAAGTGAGTTCTTGCTTGTTTCCCCAGCTCCCAAATGGTGATCATGTGTTTGCCACCAGGTTGTTCACCCAGGACTGAGAAGATGCTCTCTGGTAGGTCACTGACAACAGAGATCCCAGAATTACAGGAATCAGTAGCTCCCTCATGCTCCTACCTTGTTGAGACGACTTATTTCGCTCTCATAATGTTCTTTCTTTCTGGTCATTGAGGCGTTCTTCTGCTTCAGGAGTCTGTTCTCTTCCTTCATTTCATGGAGAGCTTCACTAAGGACTTCTGTATCTTTCTGGGATGCAAAAATACAAAGAGATGCTGCAGAAATGCAGATGGAAACATTTTTCAAGAGCAGTTTTCAGAATAATCTTCTGTCTGACAGATGTGCTGCATTTTTGTTGTCCCAAACACAGCTGGGAAGGGAGGCAGCAGGAAGGCAGATCATTAGTACACCCAGATATGATAAAGTCTTTAGAAATTGTTTTGACCACTCACCATATGATGAGACAGAGACAACATAACAGACTAAATCCCTGCTCTCTGCAGTTGCACAAAGGCATGGGAATTCTGGCAGGCCAAGCAGATCAAAATCACACCCACAGTTACCCCAGACCTGCTTTTATCTTGTGTACTCAGAGAATAAGACCAGGGCTACATGCTGGTGGAGTCCCAGCCATTCCCAGTGCCATACAGGATTGAAGACAAAAACAGAGAAAAAAAAAAAGTATTTAAAATATTTTCTGCAGCTGCTTCATGTGAATAAAAAAAGTGAGATCCAACAATCACAGGCACAGCAGACCACAGGAATGGTTTTTTTCTGCATAAAAGGCACATCTCTGTGCAGCCAGTCACAGTTTGGGCTCATCAGAAGTTCATCACTATGTGCTAATTGAGCCAGTGAAAAACACCCCGAAGTAACTTGCTTACACACGAGGAAGCTTGATTCTGCTGTGTTCTAAGTTAGCTGGGACATTTCATTTTCTCCAAAAACTAGGCAAGATTAGCAGGGTATCTCTGCCATTAAGTATAGGAACTCATCCAGCAGCTAGCTCAAGCTGACGAGCACTTACTGGCTGAGCGTGTAACTTTCAAGAAATTGCAGATTTAAGACCAAAGTTCCGTGCTGGTTAACCTGTCCCCACAAAAAAAGTTTTGGACTATATTGTCATTTAGTTCATTACTCATGCATGCAGTAAAAAAATCTGAGAGAGTGTACTACTCATCCTTATTTTTATAAAATGGTAGCTATTTTCCCAGGCATCATACATTAAAAGGCAGGCAGTAACATGAACAGAAATATGGACTGTCTCACATTGAATCAACACTCAGAGCAAACATAGGCAGAGATTCAGCAAGTTCATGGCATGGTTTGTCTTAGAACATGTAAATTGCACTATGGATTTGGAATCAAGCACGTGCTTAGCTAAGACTAATTGATAAGCAAATAAGATGAATGTTCTGCCTATGCAGGTGTAAGCTAAGGGGGTTGCATTTCTTTTTCTGCAGCAGCTAACTCACATCTTATCTGAGCCTGGAAATGATGCAATTGCCACTTGTTTCAGGTTACCACATGAATAGAGAAGCCCAGCTTCAGCCATCATCACCATCCAGAAACTCTCACTAGAGGTCATGAAGTACATGATACGATGAAGCAGAATGAGAACAGGAAGCACCACTCTGTGGGGTTTCTAAAGTGGAGCACACACACAGTTTTGTGTAGGTGCCCATCATTCAGGCTGGTGGTTTTACTGAGGTGGGAATCCAGCTCAGGGATCTTAGATGCAAAAGCCCACCACAAGAGCAAGTGGCCAGAGTCTCCTGAGAGAGCAGCCCAACCACTCTGAGGGAGAGGTGAACACCACACTGGAGCAGCTGATCAGCCCAAACACTTCCAGCCCCAATAACTGCACTGAGAGTGTCACCAATATTTGCAGGAAGCTGAGATAGCTAGCACATGTATGAGAGCCTGTATTGTCCATACCAAAACCTGGGGGACCGGAGCTGCAATCACTCCTCAAGTATTTCTTGCCAAGCACTTTGTGTAACATCTGCACTGCTGCTCCTCTTCCATTTGAAATAACTGCAGCATTTTCCTTCACAAAGACATTCACCCTAAACTGAACTGTGAGGAGAGAAATCTGTGCAAAGTAGATAACAACCTGCTCTTTACTCCCCCCCTCCACACACTAATGCTGTGCTGTCTGCAGTCCTATTGATTGACTCTTTCCCTATACACAGTTCTGTGATGAGGCAGCTCAGCAGCCACTGCCTTGGGTAGGGTATTGAGGAGCCACAGTCTCACCTCTGGGCTGTGCACAGCCCATGCTCTGCCTCACACAAGGGGAGAAAGATGAAAGGCAAGAGAGAGCTCACCACAGAGTGCAAAAGGGGTGCCACAGGGCACCACCCTCCTACCTTTTCCTGCAACAGCCTCTCTCTGCCCAGCGCTCGCCACCTCTCCTCCTCTGGATGCTGCCGGTGTCTCTCTTGCTCCAGCTCGCTCACTCTCCTCTCTGACACATCCAGCTTTGCCTTCATCTCTGTCAGCTGAAAAGCAAGTGACAGACCATGCTGAGCTCACTGGGGATTCTGAAAGGTACAGCACCTTCAGGTCAGAAGGTGCCAGAGGCATAAAACAGTTCCAGATTAAATGAGGAAGAGCCATTTGGATTCCTCTTCTCTTTGGGGAAAAAAGAAAATTAATGATTCAGATCTCAGTAAAGCTTTGTGGAAAATATTAGAGAGAAAACTTTCCTGATAAGCACATTAAGTCATTCTATAAACTTCCTTTTCATAGCAGGAAACAGCAGATGAGAAGTGTCAGTCAGTGAACCAACTTGGGTTCTGGAATACCAGACAAAATTGTAAGCACTAGGCAGCTGATGATAATGCAGCAATCATGCCACACAGCCATAAGCAAGGAATAAGAGCTACGTCAATTGGATCTTGGATGGAAAAAAAAAAGGGGGAACCAAAATATTTATTTACAAGTAATTTTGAAATTCTCTGCTTAGAGAGGGCAACTTTCATGAAGAATTTACCAGGGAGCTCTCAGGCTTCACAGAGATGGGACAAGAGCCAGCATATATGAAATAATGTGGATCAGGGGCTGGGCACACCAGGCTGATTTTCAGTTAGTTGTGCTCTCAGTCATGTGCAATTTTTATTGCAGTGTGGAGGGCACGAAGATCTCTGCTGTCATGTCCACACTGGTCCCTACTATTTTAGGGACACTTTCCATCTCTGGTTAGTTTGTCCTACTGAAGAGTGACACACACATTGGCTTCACTTTTATATGATGAAGCTTCTTCAATTTATGAGCTCAAGACAAAGTAAGAGATTTGCCATGGCTATGGCTGGCTGGTACTTGAGCACAGACTTAACTGTCAGCAGGTGGCACACATATTGCAACAGAAGTTGTCAGCATTGTTACCTGCTTTTCGTAAAGCTGTTTCATACTTCTAAATTGATGATCCCACTGCTTGTTCACCTCCAGAAGCTGTAATTACCAAGAAGGCACAGTAAATAACCCTTATTTCAACATTTTCAGCAAATCAAAAACAGACTGGCATTCTAATCCTCTGTCAGTGAGTCTTCCCAACCTCCTCATCATCTGGCCAGTTCATTTATTTCAGAAGAAGCAAGTTTAAGGTTTGGCAAGCCTTGCAGCCCATCTGCCAGTGCTTTGGTATTTCGGTTAAAGCACATGAACATTCAGGAAGCAGCACTCAGGAAACATGCAAATACACGATAAGCTACAGGTGGATCATTTGCCATGCTGCACAAATCCCAAGCTGCAGCTCCTAAATGGCCAAGGACTTTCCTGCTAGTTTGCTACAAGTTCCACAAACATATTTCAAATCTGAAGGGCTTTGACTTCAAACAAATGAATGGAAGACTCCTACTGACTGGAATACTACTGGGGGCAAACCCTGCTTGCTATTCCTTGGCCTTTAGCAATAATGGTCATTAATAGAATTTTCCCTTTGAACTAAATAAACCTCTGCTCTTCCAGATTCATAGGTACGGTACAGCCAGTCATGATGTGGTTAAGGGTACATTTAGGATTACCTCTCGTCTCTGTCTTTCCAGTGTGAGGATCTGTTGCTCCAGAGATTTGGATGATAAAGGCTTCTTTTTGCTCAGTAATGTGTGCCTCGACTGGGAAAAAGAAATGTACAAAAAAATTAAAGCTTCTGGTTTTCTCTCTTCAAGATTCTCATGTAAAAGCTCCCATCCTGACAGGTGCGCATAAAGAAACTGAAACAAACATTTTCTTGCACCAAATTTGTATCTAAATACCTTCACACCTGCTGACAGCCGAATCTGGAGCGTACATCTGCTTTAAACCCTCTCAGGCTGTGTTTTAATTGAGGCATTATGCAAATAGCCGCTGAAATAACCAAAATTGTATCTATTTGTACCATCTGAGACACAGAACACAAAATAGGATTTTAATTATCTTGCAGATGACAATACAAACAAGTAGTACAAGCCACAAAAGTTGAGCGTGACTTGGAGTGGGTGTAAGTAATTTCCCTCATTTACAAGAGCCAGAATAATTAGTAGGATTGCTCCTGGTAAGTGCTTGCAGGCCCAAGGTGATAAACTTTAGCACAATGGGCTCAAAACAAGCAATACAGGAAACAAATAGGCCATTTGGGGAAATTTAGGAGATCAGTCTGTAATTGTTCCTTTTTTTTTTTTTAAAGTGTGGAGTTTCACCCATGCAGGAAAACAGCAGCTAGACCCTCATTTTTATAATGGCAGTGTTGTATATCATAATTTCCAGGAAGTTTCTATGGATTGTCATGAAAACAAACATGTGATCTATTAGAGAGAAAGAGAGAACTGTACTGGAAAAAAAGAGACAGCCTCATAAAAATAGAACACACTCTGTTCAGATACATGCTCAGGGATTTTTGTTTCCCTCCCTAAATTCTCAACCAATATATGAAAAACAAGAATAACAGAGTGAGCACTTCTGAGGTCTGGAACAAATTTTCTGTAGATAGAGAATTTAATGCTGAATACCAATGAAGATCAAAGGACAGTTTTGCTGTGTCTTTTCAAAGGCAAGAATCCCAACCACATATTTGCCCCATGGCCAGTCCTGCTGAACTCTGATGTGGAACTCTTGACTTCCAAGCCAGAAAACACTTAATCCCTCTTCTTGTAGTTCACAGACATGTTTAATTTAGAGTATCTGAAGCAATACCTGGCAGCTAATGGAGTTATTCCCATGCTGAACTGCTTTCAGCATCTGGGCCTTAGGCACAATACATTGAAGAGAATGTTTAAGAATAGTAACAAAGTGAATAGGACAACTCACAAATCTAACAACTACACATATACTTGGCACCAACTAGCCCAAACACTGCTCACAGAAGTTGTGGGGTCACTCCAATGAACCATGGTGCAGCCTTGCTGCAACTTCTGGAGGGCAAAAAAACCCCATTAGGAAAGGGCTTCTTTCTAGGAATGCCATCTGCAAAAATATTTCTAATGTTCCCTTCCACTCTTACACAGTTTAAACCATTCAAAAAAATCTATTAGAACACAAAGATCAGCTCATAATTGTCAATCTACAAAGTGACCTGTACCAGCTCCTGTTAATCAGAAAACACTTCAGAGAACAGCCAACGTGGTCACTTACTTCCAGTGGTTCTGCTGGAGCTTCCATGTCACTCCCACCTGCCCAGGTGCATCCAAGCTGGCCTGGAGCGTTTCCTTCACTGTGGGTCTTGGAAGGAAGAAGAGCAAAGAAAGAGATATTTTATGTAGGAGCAGGAGAATTGTTTTCAGACCCACAAGATCCAGGAGTGCTGCCTGTGGAAGCAGCCAAGGTCCAGAAAGAAGTGGTAGAATTCTGATTTTAACCTTTTCCTCCTTCCTGGCTGGGGCTTCCCAGAATGGATGAAGCACAATGCCTATGACTAATGTGCCAGGCAAGGCAGCTCTCTGCTTTGTGTGCATGGAAATCACAATTGCCTGGCCAGTTCCTCCACAGAGAGGAAGTTGCATGTATAAGGGAAGGAAGGGTATTTGATTTTTCAGTAAATAAGAGGACAGGCTTTTCTATCCCTGCTTCCAGTTATAAAAAAGGACTTGAGTAATTACAGCAATTATTGACACTAAGAGTGACCGATCAGAACAGAAAAATGAGTGAGTCATGTTTCTAAAGGAGCAAGAGCAAAGTCTGTTAACAATTACGGGGAAGAGAACCCCCATACAAAAATCCCAAGATGTTTAGGGGAAAACCAAAATTGGAAAACTGATTTTTTTCCCCAAATAAAAGCTGCACAAAGATGAAGAGTGACAGATATTTTATTTGCACTTCTGCCACTTGCCTTACCTGAGCATGGGTCCAGCTTCAAGCTGCTCAAGACTTGGGTACTCAAAGGTACCCAGCACTCCAAAACTGTGCCTCAGTTTCCCATTTGGAGGAAGATGTTAACTTTACCAAATTAAACTCACAGAAAAGATTAACAAACTTCCACAGACTTTCTATACAAAGTCAGGATGAAACAGAAAAGTGCAAAGTGTTTACATCTTTGGTCTTGGAATTCTGAATAATAATGGATTTCAGAGGGAAGCATGAAAGAAAAATCCTGCTCCTTATTGTGGAGAGACCTCTGGGTCTAAGGCTTTTGCAGTGGCAGCAGAGGTTGCATATTCCATTTTCAGGGAATGAAATGAAAGCTAGCCTGTGAAATTTGACAGAAAATAATAGAAACCCCTCTTTCAATTTCCAAAAATGAATTTAGACAAAGTAAAGCAATCCTGCGAAATGCTGGAATTTTGCAGCCACATTCCAGATCTCTGGTTCACAATGTGTAACTAAGCAACTCCTCTTCTGCAAGATACAAACCCCAATTTGGAAGAAAGCTACTATTTTATAATATTTGCATATGGAATGTGTTCTGCTACCCAGAGGTTCTTTCCATTTTTCTCCTGGTTTATGGAGAAGCTGGAAAACTTGTGGTGTATCAAGAGAAAAATTAAAAAACAAAGGTTATTTTAATGAAGATATTTCAGATTCTACATGGTAGTCATCTTACTCCCCAAAAATTAGAAGAATTTCATCTGTACCTACATCAAAACTAGTCTTTGAGCATATCAGGTACAACACTGAAGATTATGAACTCATGGCAAGAGTCCAAAGTACCCACACCGACCATCTGATTAATAAAAATACAATCTCAAACCTTCCACATTGCACATCTGCTCTTGAGGGTGATGCCTCTCAAGCCCAGACACTGTCCCTTCCCCAGCTCCCACTCTCACCAGTCTCATCCCCACTCCAGCAGCACATTCACTTCTGGTCAAAGCTCAGGTTCAACAGCTGCATTTTATGGTCTGGCCTGCAAAGGTAAAGCAGCCCCAGTGTCTGTTTCCTCACAAGAGCAGGGGGATGTGGTGAGGGAGGCACTGAGCGGTCCCCGCAGTGGGGACAGAAGAGCAAACTGAGCCTCACTCATGAATCACAGTTCCCACTCAAAAGATAATAATGCTCAAATTACTTTGAAGAGAGGATGAGGCTGAGACCTTGGCTGATACTGTAATTTAGGTCACAACAGTTTCCTGGAGAGCTGAGTAGTTTCCTGGAAAGCTACCTGGACATTAGAACACAGAGTCCTTTGCTGGTGATTTCTCCATGACTGCAATAATTTAACTACTTGAAGTGAATGATTTTACATGAAATTGGACAAGATAGAGCTAAGACTAAAGTACTTTTCAGTGCCTGTCTCATCCAGCTTAGCAGTATAGGAATAATTGGTTGCCACGTAAAAAACAGACTGGAGAGAGAAGAGTATGTCTGAAATTTGTATGAATAGAAGAAATGCCAATGAGTAGAGAACAAAAAGCTCTTCAGAGATGGTGGTATTCTTCCAGGAAAAACTGGGAGGTTGAAGTAAAATCATTGCAATCATTCTTTGTGAAAACAGTGAATAGCCCCAAAAAGAAAGACAAATGACAACATTCATTTTCATTGATATCGTAGTGATAAAGACACTATGTTTATGTCTACTGCTATCAAGAGAGGCTTAGCTGTACAACAGCACTACAGAAACCTGAGATACACAGAAATCCATAAAGGAAGGAGACCTGGAGACCTATCAGGCTTCAGAATTCAAAAAGCTCCACAAATATTTTAAAGTGCTTATACTTGGTTTGAAGCTATTGAACAAAACACACGGTTTTAAATTGCTTGGAAATCCCAGTTGACAACCAGACTGTAAATGCAGTCACAAACCTAAAAATCTGCCAGGTATGGAAAAAGCTTCTCAGGAAGTAAATAGGAGAATTTGCTGCCCCTCACACTCCCTAAGTTAACTCCCAAGTCGCATCTTACAACAACTTAGAAGCCTCTTATTAAATTCTATTTTATTTCCATGATAATCTGTGATTTCTATTAGTAACAGCTTTGAAATTGTTGGTTGGTTTGTTTTCCTTTGTAAAAAATGAGAAATATTTCAGTTTGTATTCTAGGATGACCTGAGCTTCCTGAGTACAAAGGCCTTTTAGGTATCTTTGTGGAGCTTGCAGTGGCAGAAAAATCAGAGCCTTGGAGCTGTGGTCAGCACTGAATCCTCTCACAAGCCTCAGCACCACAGGAAGATATAAGTTCTCATTTTCAGAGTGCTGGATCTTAATTCTGGGAACAACTTATATCACAGTATTACAAAATATCACTCAAATTCAGATAATGAAAACCATTTCTCACTTCTGAAAATTCTGTCTGTTCAGTAACTGCAGCAAAACCAAGAACCACTGAAAGGCTCAATGAAAACAACTGTGAGACTATCCTTGATGATAAAAAAATTGTTAAAAATTACAAAGTCTTAGGTTCTTTTTTCTAGCTGATTATGTGTCTGCTGTGAGGTTTGTTGGGAATTTTTTTTTTTTTAATTTTTTTTTTAATGTATTGCTCAGTTGCAGACTTGTAGACGCTAGATTAACTCTGAGATTACTAGGGTTAAAATTTGGTGGCTTTTGGGGAGCCTTCACTTTGCTTATGTTTCACCTGAGCTTTGTTTTTGGCTTCATTGCTGAAGCTGTTTTGCCAGCAGTTTTTGCCACAATATCCATTTTCCCATTCTGAGGCATGTGGTGAAATGGAAAAAAAAAAGAGAGATTTTAGCTGAAGAATAAAATTGGCTCTTGAACCAGAAGAAGAATCTGCCTCTTCCTACCTCAACCTGGCCCCAGTGTCTCACCAGAGAGGTGTACTAGAAAGGGATTTTCCCTTCAGTAAGTGTGTCAGCCTCAGCCTTTTGTGCTGCTCAGTTACATACTCCCTCTGACAGAAAAATAGGTGCAGATGCAAGTTTGTGTCTTAATACGTGAGAACCAGATAAAATTAGAGCAAGACGTGGTTTCAGTGTAAATCAAAATATTTGAGCACAGGCTCCTGCTTCAGGATTTCCTTTATCCACTAACCATAAGGGAATGGCCTCCCAGGTACCTAAGCATTTGCAAACTCAGGCCTGCTGATGAAAATCCAAGTTTCATGTGAAAATAATTGGATAACAATTTGCAAATCTAAAAAATGCAAATCTATTCCCTTTCCTGGAGTGGAAAATGCAACATCAGAGCAAGCTACAACTGAAGGAATCAAACACTGAGGGATGTGCTGAGAAGTTTATTTTGCAGACCTATATTTTCTCTCTCTCAAATATTTGCATTTAAAACCATATTGATATCGTAAGTTTTTATGGAAAAAAAATCCCGGCAAAAAAGGGAATTTGTTTACAAACATTTACAGATCAGCCTTGAAAGTGATTTAAGGTCAGATGGAAATGCCATTCTGCAGAGTGCAATTTGTACTCTTCACTCCAGAATAAAAGTTACAGAATGAAAATGACCTGCTGGCTCTGACAAATAACTTCCTGATGAATGACTGACACAAGAGGGAAGGGTACACTTTTGTTTCATTATTAACCTTTTCTTAACTCTTAAACATGTAATTTCCCCCTCATTTTAAGTCCAAAACAGAATAATTTCACAAATGGATGTTTTCTGGAGTGGGTTGGGTTTTTTTTTTACTATTATTTCATAATCTTCACAGAGTCTACCAGGTGTTAAAGATATGCCCTCCTTTCCCAAAACACACAATCCAAGACAGGTATTCCTAGCACCTTACACTAAGGTTGCTGAAGCTCATCAGAACTGCCAAGCTGTCACTCACTTGACAGCTCAATAACCAGCCAAGTGAAAAGCTGCTTGACTTAAAAGTATAAATAAAAAATAGACAGTGTGCATCTAGTGCAGAAATATCATGAAGTGTCCCTTTTTAAGCTCTGAAAACCACACACGCACACACTTTGCAGGCAAGAAGTGCTATAAATGCAAAGAGCATAAAAGCACCACAGATTAAATACTGCCACAATCTCCTGTGTGAAGCACTGCAGCACCCCTCAGAAAGGGTCCAGGTGAGCCCATCCCTTCTCTTTCCTCCTCCCATTCCTCATATCCCCCAAATCCTTTCCTATGTCTCCTTCTGCTGGAGACAGGCTAAAGTGTGGAACCCGGTGTTTCCACGGATCATTTGTGGCTTGTAATTTCAAGGCTTGGTTCTGCCCTGACTTCTGCTTCACCACGCTTATTTCATCCCTGCCTCCGGGAATCCCCATCTCTCCCTGTGGCTTCTCTCTCACCGTTTCTAATCCCACTTGTCTGACCCTGCGGTGTCTCCTTAGGCTGGGCTCAGCTTCATGCCCCGAGGTCATGAGTCATTCTGGAGATGGCGGTTTGCATGTGAAAGGAGCCGTGTGTAATTTCGGATTTCGTAGAAGAGAGTCATCTCCCTTTTACCTCCTCACCAATTTCCTGCATCGTGCCTCGGGCTGCAGCCTTCAGAGTTTGCCTTTCCCCATCCCGTGCTGGAGTGGCACAGGTAAGAGCGTCATCCCTTGCAGGTGAATCACTCACGGTTTAATCACTCCTCTCCTCCGTACCCCTCCCTCCTCCTGCTCCCAGTTTGTGGAAAACGGGGAAATTCCTTCTATTCTCGCTATTTCAGGGGAGAGGAGTGAAACTGAGAGGTAAACCCAGAACAAGTTTCTGTCAGGCTTGTTAACCACTGCTTGACTGCAGGCAAAGACAGCCGCCTTAGCAGGTGGCTTGCGATTTTCTGTTTGCAATACCACAGAAGCGTGGGTTTGAATCGTCATCATTTTCCTTCTCCTCTCCTCCTATTCATCTAAAAGCCTTTCTGCCACTTCCATAGGTCTTTGTGTCCCACACCTCTGCTCGTTCCCAGTTAAATCAGAACTTCTAAATGCATCAAAAATGACGGCGTTTTGGGGGTTACACAGTTCCAAGGACCTGTGTTATCCAAAAAGCACATCTGGATACACTCGACACTTAGGATAATAATCAGTGGGTTTAGCTGACCTTTTAAAGCACTGTAACATATACCTTCTCAGTTACTCTCCCTCATACCAGGAAGTAGCTACATCAGGGGGGAAAAAAAAAGTGTAGCAAGTTCATTGCATCATTTCAGAAATCCTGAAGTTTCATGCATAGTCAAGTCCCGCAGAGAACACCCCTTGAATGTTCTTTCCTGGAAGATAAACATTGCAAAAGCACACTGTGATTACCTTAAGGGAACATGCAGTCCTCTGAGGGCACAGCCTCTTTTGGGCAAGAATTTTGGGGTCCTCACACGACTCAGAAGTGTTGCTCTTCCCTATTAGGTTTCTTATTTCAACATCCAGCTCTTTACTTTCACACCTGATAGAGAGAAAATGCAATGTTAAATTTTATACCAGAAGTTTAGGCTTTCTTCTGAATGTGAGAATGCACAGCTGGTCCTGCACCACTCTAGCTCCCTTCCTTCCAAACAACAAAAGCAGAGAGCAGCAGGGCAGTGACACACAGTCTCTAAGTGCTTTGTGGCAGAAATTAATTTAAAATACTTACAACAAGAAGCCTTTATGAATTATACCACTCTTCACCTACAAAATCCAAATCTGAAGACTGCCATGTGCCCTCAACCTCACCCACTCACAGTTTCAGGAGTTTTAAATTCAACTTCAGCAAAAATGCAATCAGAATAGGTGAACAGGTTTAGAACTGCAAAACTAGGTGCTCAGTTCACCAAGCCTTTTGATGGCACATTTTGTTTTCTCTAACACTTTGTAGGAGACACCTGACATGCATTTTCAAATTTTTTTCCCTTAAAAGTTCCTTTTAAAAACATATGTATCTTATAAAAAACTGGTCTGTTGAGAACATTTAAAACTACTTTTTTTTTTAATGGGAAAATTATTTTCTTTCAGTCTCTCTGCTAAGGACATACAGGACTTAGGTGCACATAGGGCTTGTTCCAAATTCTCAGAACAAACTTGCAACTAGGGCTGATTCACTTGATACAGTGTAATGGTGGAATGTGGCTTCCAGATAATTAACTGAGATATAATTAATTCAAGCCCCTAAATCTTGTAGATCAACCCAAGTTATCATGAAAAATTGATCTCTTTTGCAAGCTTAAGACTTCATGGACCAATCAACTTGAACCAATTCTAAATATAAGTAACGCGTGACCAGAAAGCAAATTGCAAGGCTCAAAAATATCACCAACCTGTTGCAGCAAGACTACTTCTTAATTTAGGCAGAAAACACAAAATCCTTTATTTGAACCACCAGAAAAACTGAAAGCTGTAGGAGTTTATCAATTTTACTTCCTGAAGTTTAGACAGGCAATCCTCAGGGATTGCACCGCAGGTTCTGAGGAAACTCTTGAAGCGAAATTGATAAAATTACCCAATAAATAAACTCATCTATCTTAATCCTAAGAGTAAATAAGTGTGGTGAATTTCATGCTGACAGCATAGAATGATTCATTTAACGCTCCATATTTAAAACACAGAGACTGTAGCAGAAATATATTTTCACTAAGCATGGATACAAAATCATTTCCAGGAGGAAATAAAATGCCAACAGTAGCAAAATCAGGGCTAGTAAAATTCTAGAGCTTTTTGGGGTTTTTTTGTTTTGTTTTTTTTTTTTTAACTCGCTGCTGGTAGTTAGATAAACTGTACTTTCACAGCCTTGAGGATTAAAAGCAAGACCTTCCCAAGGCACATTTTCATGAACTCCATGGTGGTGCAGGAGGCTGCAGCTGCTCTGAGGGCTGGTGGCAGCTTCCAAAGCCTCAGCTGTGCGTGGGTGGCAGGTGAGCCCCAGCAGCAGCTCGAGGAGAAAACTGCAGGAGGGAAGCAACAAACCTCGTGGAAGAAATACAGCCCTTCTCTGTCTGCCTAAATGTTGCAGAATCCTGGATAAGCCAGGGCAAGTGGCACTTTTTCTAAGCAATTCTGTGCTGAGGTCCCCAGACCTCAGGCAGCAGCCAGAGCAAGCACTCTGCACTCTCAAGTGCACTTCGCTGAAAAACAGCACCTTCAGCCCATTTGGACTCCAGTTCCTGATGCTGTCTGAGACACGTTTGTGTAACAGAGGTGCACATACCCTGTGCAGAGCCCTGGCTGCTTCTGAGGCTGCTCAGAAGAACTGAGAAGCCACAGCACGGAAGCAGCCACTCACTGCTGCTATTTACCACCCCCAGCTGCCAGCACAACCTACTCCCCTCAGCTCGGGCGAAGTATCCCATGCTACTTAGACTCTTTTAAACCAAATAAAGCAGCTTAGCCTAAGAAAAAAAAACCTCAGAATAAAGGAGCACTGCCTAAGTGCATCCCCGGGGACAGTAAAAGATGAGCAGCAATCTGGCAGGAGTGCAGCAGCAAATGCTTAGGCGGGCTGCGCTCAGCTCTGCTGCTGGTTCAGCCACAGCAAGTGGAGATATGTGACCACAACCTCCTGAGGTCAGAGCATGAACCAAGCTGAGAAATACCCCATAAACATGGGGGGTTAGCTTTTAATATCTTTTTTCAGCAGGAAGTGTTCATTCCTCTGCCCTGCTCCCCACAGCTTGATGATGTAGCTGTAAATTATATTCACCTCTGGCTGCTCCTCCCCTTGCCTCTCTCTGCATTCTTCTTTTTGGACTTACCTGGGCAAGAGCAGGACCCAGCTGTGCCTGGGTAAAAGAAAGAGAGCTACAGAAGGCTCAGATCTCTGCAAACCAATTTCTGCTCTGTAATATCCATATGTCTGACGATTATCATGAAAGTCAGGAAGCTACTTCATTTTTAGACTGAGATACTATATATCTGCATTTTATTATAAGCCCCTTTGACAATCAAAAGGATACATTTATGGTGAGCTAGAACATTAATTATATCTGCTGTGTAGATCTAATTTAGAATCTGGACTTTCTGAGTGCTTGAATAGATCAAGGCACCCGTGATTAGGAGCTACCCCAGACCAAGACAAGCTGACTACCAGAGCTTCACCCAGAGAGTTCTAGAGGGCATAAAGTATTCAGATTCAGATTAATCTCCAAAACTGCTTTTGGTTTTCTGGAGTTCACAGGTACACCTCTGCACCTGCATTGAAACTTTTCACAAAATACTAAAAGCATTTTTCTGTGGTCATACAAGACAAAGTATATCCCTTCTATGTGCTAAAGTTTTCTAAAGTATACAAAGATACAAAAACTGCACATAGCAAGCTGTGATTACTGCAGGAGATAACAAAAGGTTAGAATGTTAACTCTTCTTTGCAACCTTTGAGTTAGTTGCAAAATTTCCTCCTTTTTTTGAAAAATTAAGCTATATTACATGGAAGCAGAAGGTACAGATGTAACGAAGGAAGTTGGCCTCTCAACACAAGTTTTAGCAGCTTGCAGGGAAAGAAGAAAGCCCAACCTTCCTCACAATTTCCACGTTATATCAAAAAAGCCATGTCCTCTAAGAATAAAAATCTAGGTGTGTTCCCTCTGGTTTTCAAGTTACCATATCCATACAGAACTTCACTGTGCACTCCATTAAAGGTGTTTTCATTTCTCTCACGTGTTCAACTGGCTGCCTTTAAAATGGTTTTCACTTCTTTCCCCATGGTACATCTTTGCACCACTTCAGTTTCTAGGCTCCACTGGCCTATCTATTTATAATTATTTGTATTATTTAAAATAGTATAATGCTCTAAGTGATAATGATTGTTTGTTTATAAATGGTAGCATACTTTTTACAGCAATTCCATTTTTAAGCTGAGAGCCAGAACAGGATCAGCCCCATGCTTTGGGCTTGAGCAGCATAGACTGAAGGCTGAGAAACAAAAGTTTCTCAAATAAGAAGGTAGAAGCCTCATAAGAGTTCCAGTTTTCAATCTCTTGGCTTTTCCTGTTTTCCACTGGAAACTGGCATTATTTCTTACTCATTGCAGTTCCATGGCAACAATGGACGTACCTGCAATGCCTTCCAATGTATTTATTGCACAATATTAATACCAAAGCCATATAATTCTAGTTAAAATATTAATTTCAAGGCTGGTGTGCTGGGGTCATTCTCTTGTGGTGGTGAAAGCACAAATACAAACCATAAACAATTGGGAAAAAAGGCTTTAAGCCAGGATTTACAGCCAGACGCCAACACCATGGAGTCATATTTTGATGGGAAATGAATTCCAGAGTTTAATGGTAAAACGTGCTTCATCCCCTTGGGTGGGCATTTGGGATGTAGGATTCTTGCTTGACTAAGCCTAGGGGGTAAATTCATGGAAAGAAAGAAATTTCTGCATTTGGATTATGGGGAATGAACCTGTCAGATAAATTACAAATGTGGCAAATTTCAAGACAAATTGTTTCAGCTAATATTTCCCCTATTTATGATAATATACTTCATGTCAGAAAAAAGCCTGTAGAATAAGGGGGAGAATCAAATTGAATTACAGAATATTTAACTTGTACTAGATCTAACTTGTACTAGAAATAGGCTTAAAATAGGAATAAAAATAGAGATATAATTCTTTAAAATGACCATTTATCTGTAGAATGAGCCTATTCTCTCATGTTTCAAGTGATTTTACAGAAATTTTTCTCTCTTAATTCACTTTTGTAGAACTCTTAGATTTTTTTTTTATGCAAATACATTGGGATTTTTATATTAAAATTTTCTCCAGTTAAGACTAAAGAATAGCAAAGAATTTCCAGTCCAATAAGAAATAGGAAGAATAAAATTTTGCCAAGAAGACAAAAATACTTTTGTTACAGAAAAAACAATTTGCAGCCCTGTAAGCTCTTAGAAATTTAGCAGACTCTGAGCTGATAGAGAATAGTTAAAATGTGGTGCAACTCCCTAAGGACCAATGGTGCCATTCCAGTACTCAACACCCCACTAGAAGTTTAGGCTCGGGAATTTAAGCCAGAACTCTTGAAACTGAGCTCCAGTCATTGCATGTTCCACCTCACATGTACCACCATAAAAAACAGTTTATTGGGCATAAAGCATACTGTGCTGGGACAAACACAAAAAGAACACCTGCCTTTGATGATTATGAGTAGATACTTACAAAGAGAGGTGGGGGGGGAGTGAAGGCAACAAATTATTTCAAATTGCTCCTAGCTTAATATTCTAACCTGAGTTTCACCTTCCAAAAGTTATCCAGTATTTCAAGAGCATAGCTGGAAAGCCAGCCAAGCATCAGCTGAGATCTACCTGGCAGAACTGCATGGTCTTCACAGTGAGATATCCCACAGGTCAGTGTGGCATTAGGAATAACCTCACCCCAGTGCCAAGAAGAGAGCTCCATAAGGTGTATGATAGGGGTTAAATCATGAACTGTGACCATAGCAGAGAAACCACTTAAAACTTTCCCTCAAATCTGATGTAGCCAAAACATCTGCCTCTCACCCCATAAACGTCCCTACACTTCTGTTCCCTTTACGACAAAGGAATGGGCCTTTTAAGGCACATTTAACAGCCAGCAGCTGTTGGGCTGTCAAATGCCACATCTGGAGAAGCTGTGTGCTGTTAATGTGAGCAGAAACAATTATTCCTTAATACTTTTGTTTAATTTTAAGAATTACACAAATGACAACTAGAGGGGGGCATGTTCTTAATGGAAACACATCTGGTTTTCTCTGAAAAAAAAGCCAAAAAAAAAAAAAAAAAAGAGGAGGGGGCAGTGATTAAGTGAAGCTGCACCTATAATCCATCCCTGCTCAGTGAGGAGAAGGACAGCTACTGATATACAGGCACTCAGTGTCTCTCAGTGTTTGACTACTCCCCTCAGGAGATTTGCAACATGCAAGGAGACCATTGCTGTTGGTTTGCATTCAGTGATGTTACTTATCACACGGTGCTGTTCCCTCTATGCCTGGGTATTCCCATCCCTTGGGAAGTGTCCATGCTGCTGCCTCACTCCTGCCCCCTATACAGCTCATACATCAGGAAGAGAGCATCGTGCCCCTTTCACTTGCATCTTCTACTTATTTATACTACCAAGACATTGATTGTCTTCCTGATGGATAGCATTTTATCTGCATTCAAACCTCAGGAAAGCAAATTAAATTATTTCCACTGACTTTCTCAGGCTTTGAATGAGCCGTGAGTTGCAGAGGCAGCAATGGGGCACTGTCACCCAGACTCACCCCCAAGGCCTCACGTGGCTGCAAAGGGATCACCAGTGGAAAGGGAATTGATTCTTGCCATCAAAATACATCAGCTGGAAAGTTTGGCCAACCAGAGCCACCAAGCAGCATGTGCTGCCTGAGCAGATGAATGCCCCACTGAGGCATACGTGCAGAAAGCTGTGGGGAGGTGGCAGGAATGCGCTGAAAGATCTGAAAAAGGACACGAAGGGAGGAAAATCTCGGTATTTTCAAGTGCTCGCTCTTTTTCTGTGGAGATCAATGCCTAGAAAAGCTTGTGCCCCTTTCAGGGCACTTTCCTGGCCTCAGGACATGCCTTTTTGGGATGGTATCCCCCCCACAGCCCCTTCTGGACTGGCTGCTTGCCCTGCAGATTCAGCTGAAGCCCCACAAGTCTGTTCAGGTCTTACATGTGCTTGTTCCTCTGGAAAGCTGTAATTCTGATGCACTGCAATTGCACAGAGCTGACATTTTTAACTGGTACTTGACAAAACAACTCTCTTTTCAAATCAGGCATCACCACAAGCAGCCCATTCTGCCTCCTACTTCAGCCTGGGCCAGGATGAGGATGCTTCATCAAAGCCCTGCTGAGCTGGGCTCACAACTGGGCTGAACCTTTGGAGGAAAACAAGCCCATGATTCATTTGAGTCTGTGCTGCCCACGCAGAGCTGAAGTATTTGCAGTCATCTACTAACAGCACAAGCAGGACAGACAGATGAAAACCATTTGGAAATGCAGCCAGGAAATGTAACATGCAGTAGCTGACAGGGGACAACTAGCTCTTTAAGTCAGGCCAGCTCCTTGCCTGTTGTGGCTGCCAGGCAGCCTCAGTGAAAGGCAGAGGACACTCACTGCACTCAGATTAAATACTCACAGTATTTAATACTCTCAGTACTATCAGTAGAACTAATACTACCTTGTGAAACTGCAGCTGCCCAAAAAATTTAACAAAGGAGTTTTTCCATGTAACATTAACACAGTACCTTTCCATCTCAACACACTGATGGGGACACAGTTCCATGCAACCCTCTTCATCTTTCTTCTTCATTTTGAGCTCCTCACAGTGAATCTATTAGGAGCAGGGAAGAAAAAAAAAAAAAGGAGTTTTTAAGGGGAAGTAAAAATATTAACAATTTACAAAGAAAAAGTTAAGTATCCAATTACAATGAACAGATAACAGTGTCTTGTATTTCTATTTTATTCTTCATAAACTACAAATGGTTGACAAGCAAGCCAGGAATTTACTTCCCCCTTCCCAGCACCATCCTCTATTAAGTTCACCACTGTGTCAGGGACAGTTCTGCAAGGGCAGGAGCAACAACAATCTCTGGCTGTGGTGACAAAAATCTACCCAAGGAACAAAGCTGCCAGCAGTCACAGGAACATTGGAAGAGCTGCAAAAAGAGCTTTTATTAATCATCCTAAAAGAATCAGTTATTTTTCATACTCTAGAATTCAAGCGTGTCCTCACATTGTCCAGAAAATTCCTATGCTTCATGGAAGTGCCCAGTAAAACTACTGCTCCAAAATTAAGAGAATTTGGGTAATGTCTCTGATCTAAATCACTTTGAGAGAAAAGGAGCCACACGTAAGTTATCGAGCATGAGTGTGTTGTTCAAGCACTCCACGAGCTCCTAACAAGATTCCCTCTTGTCAGGCAAGTTGCATTTCCAAAGGGAGACAAATAAAAGATCCCAAACCAAACTCCCAGAGAAAAGGGCTGCTACAGGGTAACAGAAAGCAGTCCACATTAAGACAATCCCTTGAAACTGGAGGCTTTGAATTGAAACTCCAAACATGAAAAAAAACAAGCACCACCTCGCCATCTCAAGTGGGAGAAGGGATTGTACAAGGAGTGAGCCAACATCACCTCATCCAGAGGAATCATTCTGCTCCTGTGCTGCAGGCTGGTGACAACCCTGAGTATGTTTCCTAAGACACCTCTAGTTTCCCAGAAAAGGAGCCCAGAAGCCTTGTTCTTCTCTTTTGATCAAACAGTATCATTATGGCATTTACTAGAACTGCAAAGTGACAGGTTTCATAAGACCTATCTTAAGGACAGCAAGGTGACCACTGAAATGAAGTGGGGAACCATCCAGAGCTAAATCTGCTATTTATAAGCAAGTAAGTTTTCAATTACAACTCACTCTCTTTATTGGTAGCATCAACTTAATGTGAAACCACAGCTGAACATTTTATAGAAACCATACTGCTTTCACGCTCTATGTACAGGGCAGAAATTTAAATGAAAGGTTGCCAGCAGAAGATCTGAGGTGTTTGGCATCCCTCCCCCTTCTTAATTCCAATTCCTGCAGGCATTTCACACGTTCTAAATGCATCTGGTAATCACTAATTACAAGGATCCTATTAAGAAAAAAAAAAGTCAATTCAGTTTCATGTGAAACTTGATTCCAGCTTGTCTCGAGTTTTATGAGTGTCTGTTTAATCATAACACAATCACACTGAAGTATGGAAAGCTGCATTTGATTGATTTCAATTGGAGCAGCAGACACTGGGGACTAATGAGGATTAAGCCTTATTTTGGAGTGTCTGAACTTGGCCTGCATGTGACTAACTTAAAAATATCAAATTTGAAAAACACTGACCTGGAACAAACACTCTCTTACTGCCACTGAAACAACAACAACGAAACAATAAAGCAAAATGACTAAAAGAAATCAGAATGAAAAAATCCCAAAGCTGACCCAGAACATCACAGAATTCAGACTGCTACTCCAGCTGTAATTTGTGCCAATGAGCTTTGACATTTCACCAGTTTCAGATGTATTTACCAAGCTGGGCACAGTACTGCAGCCCACATTGAAGGGATGCAGGTTAAATGTTACCGAAAATATGACACCCTGATGTTGGTAAGAGTCATGTAAGAAGCAAGCAACATTCTGAAAAACTGGAAAGGAAAAAAGCAGTGGTGAATGAACAAAAATATATTGATTTAGTTATTAGATGTGTTCTCTCCTGGTTGTGCAGTGTGAGCCAGATTTGGGGGCCCTGCTGAGGAGGTCTCTGGGGCTGCAGTGAGGGCACTTTGGGTTTTCTGTGTCCCTGCTCTGCTGAGCCAGGGAAACAAAAAAAGGTGCTAAAAGCTGATAAAGTCCTATATCCCTGCATGGCCCAGCTGCACACCCAGGCAGCATAAACATGCATTTCTCCAGAAGCCCTGCTGCTCACACTGCTTTTCTCCAGAAGCCCTGCTGCTCACGCTGCTGCAGTGGGGGACCTTGTGCAGGTCTCCTGACTCTTAGTCATATGCAGATTTTGCAGCTAAAATCCAAATCTCCACTTGAGAACCTGAACAAAAAGAGACAACCCAGTCGCTGTAACCCCTGCAAGTGTTTGTTATTAGAACAACCAGAAGTTTTTACAACCATAATATGCAGTGTAATGCTGTAGGTTTTTATTAGATCTGGCAGACTGAAGCCAAGATGGATAAAATTCAGCTACTTCAAAGAATTAAGGCTCTGTAAAAGAGAGGGTTGTAATGGCCATGTAAAGGATTGCTCAGAATTACATAAATTTTCTGCTTTCTGTCAGGGCTTTTAAGAACAGGAACACCCTGAAGTAAAACAGAATCAGTTCTGCTCACAGATTTATGGGGTTTTGCAATAATTGGAAATGTTTGTTAAAAAGTGTGCAGAATTTCCTTGGTGCTCACCCACCAGCTCCAAGCCCTAAGTACTTCCTAGATACACCCAGAATTGGTCAAAAAGGCACTTTTTTGGCTGGAGTATTAATTTGCATTAAAAACAAGTTTCCCACATAGAAAAAACTTATTTGGAGAGGAAAAGAAACACATTGTTCAAGAAAGACAATGAGACTCACTAATTCTAATGAAATCTTAACTCTGAAATTGATTACAGCCAGAGAGGCACTCATCACACTGGTGTTTCAAAATATTTTCCAAAATGCTTTTCACAAACATTCCTATTGAAAATGTTAAATCCTGCACTGCCCTTGCCCCATTCTCTTTTTCTTTCCCCAAGTCTAGTACTAGCTTAAGAGCATCTGATGTTAGCAAATCCTTGCTCATTTTATCCAAACTTGCTCAGTAATTCACTTGTATTTCATTTGTACCAAAGCAATATTTTGTGGGAATGCAATGTTGAATGAATGCCAGAAATGAGACGGACTAATAATGCAGAAAAAGGGAAAGGAGATGTTTGGTTTGGTTTTCCTGCCTAGGTCAACTCAATGGTTCAGTTTTACAGACCACCACCATCACCAGACACTGTCCCAGCAGAGAGAACAGAAAAGGAACAATATACCAAATAAATTAAAGTACATGCTAACAAAATTCACATAAGGAATAAACCCACTCATAAATTACCTTTCCAGTAACACACATTTTTCTGTTGTGCAAGCTGCAGGGCCTGTCACAGCCAGGCTGAGTAAACTCGCCTCATTTAAGCATTAGCCATATTGCAAAACAGCTCCAAAACAAAGTGGAACAAACACCATCACCAATGCTGTTGATAAACAAGCCAGCAGGTTACACATTATTCTTGTGTAGCTGTCGTGTAGGAGGAGTGGGAGGGAGAAATGCATTATTACAGTAAATGTGATCAAAATGGAAGAAAAACCAGAGAAATAAAAGAGCATTTGGTGAAAGAGAGCCTAAGCAACACTCACTGAAACTAATCTAAAACAGGAATAAAGCCTTCAAAAAGCCATCTCCCCCTACCAAGATACTCCCAGGTTCTCAGAGTAGCACCTGAACTAGCCACGACACTGCCTGCCCTTTGCTGAAAATGCAGCTTCATACACACAAATGCTGCCTAGAAAAAGCCACAAACACAGCAAGATCTGTCAGCTGTCTTCTCTCCCCGTTATTTCCTGATAAAGTGCTGAAACTTCAGTATATGACAGTTTCCAAGCAAAATTTTAAATCTGAAGCTTGATTTTAGCCAAAAATAAAGAGTAGATAGTTTCCTCTGTCCTGTCTTGCCTAATTTCATTTGGACAAAATGCAACTGGTACCTGCCCTGTGTGATGCAGGGAAGATTTAATGCTGAATACCTTAAGCTGATCTCAATATTAAGTACAATTCCCCATGATTAAGGTAACAGTAGATTTTGAGCAATAATCCCCTCGAAGAATTTAATTCCCAAATGCCCTCCCCATGGAACTGCGATATCCACAACTTGATAAACAATGTGGGCTACAGTCCCCCATACTGGGTGTGTGAAAATGCTCCTCTTGACACACACAAATTCACGTCAGTGGTGAGTGCAAAGCACTGCTTTAAACTACAGGACCTTATTCTAAATCAATACAAGACTTGTTTCTTGAATTGAAAGGGAGACAAAACCAATTTACAGGCATGTTTCTCCTTTTGCCAACCAGCAAATTTCCAAACATCTTTGGACCGAAGAACTCGACAAATTCTAAAAGTCAGAAGATGATTCGCACATGAGTATAAATCCCTTCTTCAAGCAGCAATCAGTTGCACAAATGTAACCAAGAAGCCACCACAGTTGTGCTCAGCCTGGGGTGACACACATTTTACTTTTGGGCTTCCCATATCAGCCACTCCACACAGGCATCTGCACAAGCAAGTTTAAAGCACACGGACTCGTTTCAAAGGCCACAAAACACGAGCTCAGTGCCAAAAATATCATGACCACACTTCCAACATGCAAAAGAGTCACATAAGAAGTGACCAGAGGAAGTTGCAAATATCATCTCACCAAGCTATCAAAGTCACACACAGCCTACCTCAAAACACCCTCAGTACTCCTGTTAAAAATGAGACTCCTCATTTTTAATACATTTAGAAGAAATATTTTCTTCATGGCAAATGTTCAGTTCAGCTAAAGTCAATTAGTGTACAGAAGTCTGTGTGCAAAGTCCATGATACTTTGAACACACTTACTGTACACAATTTCTGTGGAAGTAAATTGTTAACAGAATATTAATTAATTTTTAAAAAACAATAAAATGTGTTGATAAAATAAAGCCCTTAACAGTTAATATCTTTTCAATGCTATTTGCTCATTATCTGAGTCCAAATTTAATTTTCTCAACAAACTATTTGGAGGTGGGAGAGATGGG